CCCGCTGACAGGCCTGTGTGGAAGGACCCGGGCGTCGGGCAGGCCCCGTGGCCCTGTTTCTGTACCGCTGAGCGGTCAGCTGAAAGTTTCTCCCCCTCAGGGTGTGTCAGTGGCCCGGCAGGTACCGCCGGGGGTTAAACCGTGCTCTTCTGGTTGCCGGCAGGGCCGCTTCCCCGGCTTAACTGAAAAAATTGAGAAAACTTCCCCGCTAAACAGCTTAGGATAATGTCATCGGAGTGAATTAAGATGTTCTCAATTTGCTGGCATGTTGTCAATCAGTCAAGTACGTCTGACTGTGACTGTCCACCCTCTTATGGATACGTTGGAGCGTGGGGACGGGATGATTTCTCACCATGAAAAGTTATCAGCAATAGCCTGAAGCAGAGACTTAAAAAATACCGGTATATGTTTTTAATGGTCAAGATTTAGATTTCTTTTTTTTTAAAAAACTTATTTTATGCTGTCCTTTAAAACGAATTCTATATTTCCCATTTGGGATTTCTTTTAACTTTACGAAGAATTCATGAAAGGCTTTGCTATCCTGAAACAATTTAAGTTTCAGTGGGAGTATCTTTTGAGAACTTCTGTTTCTGCCACAGGAACTTGTGCAGCTCTAAGCCATTCAAATTACCCATGCTTTTCAAAATCTTCCCTCTGAAATTAAGTACTCGATTACGTGGCTGGGCACCTGCCAGAATCTAGTGTAGCTTATCACCTTTGAAGACTGTTCTTTTTTTAAACATTTTGATTGTAACAGTTAGTGCTTGAAACGTATTAATCTTGCCACCAGTCTTCTCGTCTTTAAAGTGCTTCTGCCAGCTGTCCTAGCTGTTTCCCTAACTACTGTTTGTAACTACATTATTTGCATATCATACCATCTGTAGGAGAATCTGCATGAAAGGCCAACAGAAAGAAGGAAAGCTTCTGATCATTTCTCCTCATGGCATAGATTCTTAATAATTTTTTAAAAAAATAAACAAATTAGCCTTAGAGAGCCTTTCCAGACCTTGGCAGTTTCTGTGGTAGTACTGTATTCTGGAACTTGTGATCACATGAAGCAGGTCTATGTGTTTTTGTTTTAGAGCTGTTTTTGTTGTGTGAAGCTGATCTTAGAAACTCTTCCATATTTTAAGTGCTTTTAGGATTTTTTTCAGGGGAGGGTGTGATGCAGATGCGGTCATTCCAGACTGTGCTTTGTTTTTTGTCATGGTGCCTCATCTTCACAACTTGTCCTTCTCCCCATCTTTATCCAGTCTCCTATGGAAAGAGCAATATACAGGTTTGTAGTTTGAAGTGAAACTGAGAACACCTATTTTCCCTCAAGGGGGATGTTCTTTCAGTGTCACTATGATCAACAGCCTAAGTTATATACAGGTATCTAGTGTTTGTACAGTATTTACAGCTTCAGCTTTTCTGGAAGAAAACAAGATGGTTTCTTTAGTGCTGTCTATAGAACTGATGTTAAGAAGAGAATGGAATGGTTTACCAATGATCTTCAAATCTGTTTTATTATTATGGTAGCATAAATGCTAGGTAATGCATAATACATCTCTACAACTGTAATGGTAATATTTTCAACTTAATTTGCTTTCACATGCAATTTTGTTTTGGGACTCAATGCAAAATGAGCTTAACACCTGTTAATTTTATAATAGCATAATTATGGAGTAAGCAGAAATCCAGCAGGGTGGAGATAGGATAGTGAGGAAGAATTAATAGCTTGGAACTTTTAATCCTTACTTATGGAATTATCAAAGAGAAAGAAGTATAAGTATGGTTATAAGGGTTATACAATGTAAAAATTCAATAACCTGATTCCCTTTTAAAAAAATGTGGGAGTGCTCTCTTTTCTTTTCTAGGTCAAGTGCATGAAAGTTAGAAACTAGAGTAGTTCAAACGGCATGAGCTGTTCATTCACTGACATGTTTAGGTTCTAGTAATCTTTAATTATGTAGTCTCCTGATTCTTTTTGCTCAAACTGTTCATGTGAAGATGTATGGTAATGGAGGAAGGAAGGGAGCTCTGTAATATCTTTACTATTCATTAAGCAACTCTTACACAATATGAAGACTGCATTGAGTTGATAGTTATTAATTTCTGCATGCTCTTCTTCGAGGATGCTTCTTAATGGATTATTTTAATGGCTCACAAGTATTGATTCAGCACCTCTTTGAGATGAGGGAATATTGTTTTCCCGTCGGTAAAATTAGTGTAATAAACAAGATGTGATCTGGGGTCGCAAAAAATAATCAATGGGGGAACAAAATTAGAATTCAAGTTCACCTGCCTCCATGCTGTGCTGTTTTCTCCAGAAAATAATGTGAGTTGGATGTCTATATTCAGTGGCCATTATGAGCGCTGGGCGCTTCTTCATATCGGGTTCTGTTGAGAACATGCAGTTAATGTCTTTTTGTTAGCCTGATAGTCACATTGCAGTGAGGCAGTGACAGATCAATATTGTGCTCTTCCTCTTCTCCTTGGTCTTTTTGCCTACTATTTCCAACTTCTGCAACAAGTGGAGGAGCGATCATATGGATTTCCTTATCCCTGCTTAGCCTTGATTGATTGTTGGAGGACCGTCCACCCACTATGCTGAACAAGTAGGGGTCCTACTGGAAAACATACTAAGTGCTCCCGTAGTTAAACATGGTGATAATGGGAATAAACACACCAGGGGATGAATTAAAGTTGCACAGGGAACTTTCTGACTTGTGAGTGCTTTACTCTGAACCTAAACAATATTATATCTTTAATGCAAAAACAAATTCTGTCACACATGCTGGCAGGGTCATTATAGTTGCATGTCAGTGGCGCTGAAATGTTCCAGGCAGAAGCACAGCTTGAGCTCAGGGCTAACTGCATTAGTTGGAAACAGGAGGAAGCTGTTTCTGTAAAGTTGAAGGGGAAAGGTCAGTGTGGCAATGGGTTTATTGAGAGGATTGTTGGGATTTCACAATCCCATCCTCTCTTCTCTGACTTGTTCAAGTGGTGGGAGGGAAACACTGGAGACAGAAACAGGGTCCTCTGGTCATGAGTTGAACTGGTGGGAGGAGAAAGTAGTTTTGATGCTCTACTCCTCTTTACACCTGGCAGATGTGTGGTAGTATATTCATTCCCTACCTGTGTCTCTGCACCTTCTAGATGATGCTTGAGATTTTGGAGTTTAGTGAAGGAAGCCCAGCCCCATTGTGTCTTGTCTTCTTTTGAAAAGGTATCCTCTGTCATGTTTATATTTTCAGGATCTTTTTGTGGGTGTTGGGCAAAGTGGATGCTACTTGGGTGTGGTTTTTTTTTTTTTTTTTTTTCCTTGCTGTCAGATTATTATTGGTTATGTAGATTGTTGGAGGCCTGCTCATTTTTATTTTTCCTTACTTTTTGATGCACGCTCTAAGTTTTGGCTTGTCCATAGCTGAGGATTTCAGAGGCTGCTTCTTCCCCAAAGCCATATTATTTCTCCTGTAATGTAAATCACAGTGATTGCTTGGACCATCTTGATTGGGGAAAAAAACCTAAATCTCAGATTTCTTCAGTAATGGAGATTCAGTTGGAGTTAAGAATTCTTTATTTTCTTAAAAGTTTTTGATGGTGTAACAATAATTAGATACATATATCGTTTATATCTTTTCCCTCTTGTCTTCATGACACCTGTGACTATAGTAAGGGTCCTATTGCTTTTTTTATTCAGTTTTACTTTCACACTTTGCCATGTTTCTAGCTTGTATCTTCTGTATTCATATTTTAAAAGTTACAAAGATTTCTGCTATGAAAATGGAATAAAAATCTTTTTCTAGTTCATATGGAACCTTATATCTAGTCACAATATCTATTTTCCTTGTTCTACTGAACAAAAACCCAAAGCAGAAACCAATGGTCTTGCCCTAGAGACTATTTTAATCCAAATATTATTCAGTTTGTTTAAATGCTTAGTCATATTGTCCAAACTGCCTTTTTTCAATGTGATTCTTCTTACTTTTTTCTTCACATTAATAATGTTTGCCCACTTGTATAGTTGCATCCTGGAAATAGCGTTCAGAAGAGGGCAAGGCAAGAAAGCTACAAAGTGGTGGATCCAATGCATGAGTTTGATTTTGCTTACCTTTTATTTTTGGGCACTACAGTAGTTACATTTACCCCTGATGCCCAGAAAACTAACTGCCCTTTTTTGACCTCTTTATTACTGTGGCTGGACTTGCTCCTTACATTTCTGTCATAGGAAAAGCCACCTAGGTATGGTGTAGCTCTTCTTCATTGGCTAGCTCAATTTTAAAAGGGTATTGTTTAAAATTTTACTCTTTCTTTTGAAGTATCATTTTCACTTTTCCAAGGCTTTAACAAATGCAGGTTCTTGCTGAAGTATCCATCTTTACAAGATAAACCTGCGTGATTATTATAGACAGCTTCTAAGGAGACATGTATTTACAGCTTTGGTAATATATATGTATTTCAGTAGTAATGGAATAAGAATGGAAACAGTGAGGTGAAAAAAGGCACAGAGGCATTCCTAGTTCAATTGTCTCTGCCATAAATTTGAGAATAAGTGTCATATATGGGTGATAAAAATGGCATAGGCTATTTTTTATATGCTCATTATTCACTTAGTTTGTCTTTTTCAATTAACGTGGAGTCTATCTTTCTCATCTGACTGGGTTTACGTTTCTTTCATAATCATATGTCAACAAACCACAATAGATGCAGCATAATGTGGCATACAGTGTAAATCTTTAGGTTAATCCTTAACATTTTTTATTACAGTTCATTTGGAATCACTTTGTAACTTGATCATGATTTGTACTGGTGTGGTTTTTTTAATGATATGCTTAATAGGTTACAGCTTGATCTTTTCTCACCTCTTTAATGTAGAGAGGATGCTCAACTACTCAGCCAATGAGATTAGATCTATTTTGAGATTAGATATCCTCGATTATAATATTTTTTTTCTTTAACTTCTTAAGACTTGTCTTCTCTGTTTATTTCATTTGAGGAGCCTTAGCAGTTTGGATGTACTGTTTTCTAAACCACTAACAAAACCATTGAGTGTCGACGTTGGTCATGGTACTCGCTTTGTATGTGGCAACATGGCAAGGTAGCCTTGCTTTTGGGGATTTAAGGTACAGCAGTTTCTAAAGGCTGTCCTTCCCAGGACTTTGTGCTAAAAGGAATGCTCACCTACTTGCTAGGCCGAATCAATGTGATATTTTTAGGCATCTTGGAGTGTCAGTCACTTTTATTTTACATAGTATGTTCTGTTTCTGTGTAAGTATATATTTTAAAAAGACAGTTTAGCAAACTCTGGAGAGAGACTTTTAAATATAGTTGGAAAGGAAAGGGGAGAGCAGAAGCAAAATCCTTGTATTTCTTGATTCAATAGGACAGGCAGTCACAAATATTTCTTGATAATTTGTGTTCAGGCCTGTCCCCTATTAATGATTTGCACAAAAACTTTGAAATAAAATTAATTAATTGTTTTCTAATACCAGCTCATGTAAAGCTGAAAGATGTGTTTTGTTTAATATCGGTCACTTTTGGACAGTGTGTGCGCACAAATGTGCCTAGCTTGCAGCTACCTTCCAAAATTCTCTGGCCTGCCTTCCCAAATTCTCTGGCTTTTGCAGCAGGCTTCTTGCTCTCTTAGCCCTTGAAGTGGAGGGGAGAGGTGGGAAAAGGCTGGTGGCTGGAGGAATTGTTCTGCTGATCTGCCATTCCCTTCTCGTGTGACTGGCACTGCATCCGCCAGGTGACCTCATGCAAGTGTCCCCTGTCATATGATGGATGACTGTCTGGCCCCGAAACAGGAGCATGCATTCTCTTCAGGTCGTGGACAGGGAACTGCGTGCATGCCCTGCCATGTGAGTGGGAACACACCTATCTCATCGCCAGTTTATAATTGTTCCCTGTCACTTGAATGGCATGAACTCACCAGGTGATGAAGAAGTGACTAACTTTTTGATAATGTGATAGACAACATTTTGGTTATCTACTGTAGGAGGGGAGAAAGGAAGACCCAGAGCACAGTCTGAGTGCTTCTGTGAGAGTCCATTTGGCCCACCCTGACACAAAAATGAGGTAGTTCTGTCTTAAATGTGTTTGTTTATTAAGTGTGACTTACGATCACGATATTGAGCCCTGTAAACTACAAAAGCGCTATGATTCGTTATGATTAGCACTCTTTACCGCAGCACATGCTTTGGGCTAAAAATTTACAACATTCTTGAAAAAGCCCATCTGCGTAGTTTCAGCCTTCATTAAAGAAAATAGCCCCAAAGACTTAAAACGATGAAAAACTTGCAGTGTTGTCTGTTTATAGGCATGGAAGTAAGAAGAACCACAAAATGTTTTAACAATGAAAAGCAAAATAAATAATAACTTTTTCCTTGTAAAAAGAATGTGGATGAAAATGAAATGAAAAGCGGCCTTTTCAGCTTTTGACTGTTTTATGAAATGGCAATTAGCTTTGAACTGTATGAGCCGGTTGAAGTGGACAGAGCTAGACTGTAGCGTGATTTCCCTTTTCTGTCAGTTTGTAACCTGTATTGACAGAGCAGTTTGTGCATGGATCGTATCAATTGGATCTTTCAGTTTGGCAGCTATTGTTTGTTTCTGGAGGCAAATAATTTCTCTGGGGCATGGTTCAGACCAAGTTAAAATTATGAGCTTTAAGGAACAGCAACAAATATTCAAGCTATCAAGCAGTCTTAACTTTTTTTAAGCTTGTGTGTTAAGAGCTGTTGAATAGCTTTCCAAAGTTTATTTCTCTCTGAAATGTTAGTGTTTTCAATGGAAACAGCTGAGTTTCTGCAATGTGTGATGCTAAATAGCTGCTCAGTTCGTTAGAAACAAACGATTTATGGAAATAGATAACACTCTGGATTAGTAAAAGTGCTTTTAAATCAGAAATCTGTTCAAAGATGTTTTCTTTTTGGAGTTTATCTTTTATTACTCTGAATTCCTCAATGGACCAATTGCTACTGAAGCATGAAAGAAACACATCTGCACTGAAGTGCTTGTGACTGGTGGCTTACACTTCCCTTTTCTGTATAGCATTAAACTAGCAGAGGAGACATCACATTTTGGATCTTCTTGGGGAAGGAAGAGAAAGTAAGTGACTAGAATAGCAGTGAGAAATGGGTAAATTTTGCTGTGTCTGTATGAGACTTGCATCTGTCATACTGAAGTCTTGAGTCCTGTCCTCATTCTAAGGTAAATCACTTTGAGGACTGTCAGAGACACGCGTGAACATTCCCTTATGTTGAGCCAGTGATGAAGCACTCTCTAACAGTAGGGATTGCTCCTTCCATATTTTTCCACAGTATGGAAGTACAGATAGTGAAGAGATGATCATAACTTAGATGACTTCCTTGCTTCTTGTACAGAGGACCTTAGTATAAGTTACTAATCTCACATGCATCTGGAGCGCGCTGAATGGATTTACAATGCTAGATCAGAAGGTGGCTTGAGTAAGATATATAACATTCTGTGTAACTCTGAGTAGATAAGAAAATCTGTGATACAGTAACATGTATTTTTCCAAGTATATTGCTTCTTTAGCATCCTGTTGAAGATCATGCATATATCAGGTCTGTCTTCATATTTTGGCATTGTGATGAATCAAGCTATATGCTTTCTCTGGACATATGGAAGTAATAGTATTCTGTGATGAGAACAGTGCATTCTCTTTGTGACTACCTAAGCTCACAGAAATTGTTTTATAGTCTCACAGGAGAGGGAAGCCATCCCAGGCATGTCTTCTCTGTAACTGCTGCTGCTCTTTAGAAACAATAAACTTATCTGGAACTTGTGCATGCTTGCTCTTTTTCTGTTTCTCTCCTTCCTCCCCCCCACCCTTCCATCTCATTACCTACTTTTACTGAGAAGAGATGAAGCATCTGCTTCAGCCCTGTGCCTCCATGGTTGAAAATTCTTTTATTACTTCTGCTTTTGAAGTCCAAGCTTTTCCAGAAAAGAACAGATTGTGTCAACAATGTAGTTAGTCCTCACATTGTCATATCTACAGTGTATTCTAAGCTAGAAGCGGTGATTCTTTCTTCTGAAAACAAAACAAAGGAGTATGTGGGGAAAAGAAACCAAATTATTTCAACATTTATGTTTGAAAAAAGCTTTGAGAGTCAGTCAAAACCAGAGATGACAGAGTTCTGAGCTGGGCTTTGAGCTTTTCCAAGAAGTAAAGAAGCCCATTGAGTTTAAATGAAGACTGCTGAGGCAAAGTTCTGTGATTAATTAGCATCCAAAGATTACTGTGCAAGCATCACTCCTTATTTATAAACGTGACTAATTCCTCTAAGCTTTCATATGTTGCTGCCTAGGTAGAACTTTGAAGCTGCTATCTAATTTTTGAAATAAATATGTAGGAGTATGAAGGAACAAATATTTAATCAGCATGTCCCTCCCAGAGTGAAAGGTTGGTCTGTACTGGAAAATCCTGTTGGGTTTGATTGAGGGAAAAACTGTTGGTGGTTTTGTTTTTTTGCCCATAGTAGTAAAAGTATCGGGCCTTTTGACCTAAGGGAGGTTTTGTAGATGGCCAGTGTCTTGGGATCGTGTGGATCCTCGTTTGCCTGCTTGGTCGGAAATTACAATAATTGGAATTTATGAAGATGTATAAATTTTTTGTGAGTTAGGACAAAATGTTTCCAGGGATGCTCAGTGTAGGGCATAGAGGCTGTTGGGGGTGTGTCTGGAGGATTCATTAATACACATGTTAAGTGCCTTTCCTTCTGTCCTTTTAAAGAAGGAATGCCATAGAACTGAGTGTGGGTCCCCACCCTTCAGGACTGCTTTGGAAGACGTAGTGGGGAAGATTCTCTGTCTTATTGGGAGGGGGATCAATATAATTCTTCAGAACTTGAAAACACTTTAAAAAATGAAGATTTTGCCACATCTTGTGATGACAGCAAGCCAATCTAAACATCTAAATAATAACCTGGTAAATTATTTATGAAGAATGATGTCTTTGTAACAGCTATGCTAGTGTTCTCAAAGAGTAACTTTTGATTTAATTTGTTTTCTTGCAGCCTGCAATATAAAGTGGGATATGTTTCTGTTGAACTTCTGTTTTCTAAAGAAAAAAAGCAGGCAGTTAAGGCTTTTGGTTATGAAATCTGCAGTATATATTAATTTGATGCTGTTTTAAAATGTAAACTTTTGCATGCAGGCATTTGAGTGTTACTTATGTATGCTTTCGCTTATTCACTGAACAGTTAGCTTAAATTTCTCAGCTGTATGGATAACAAGTGGGAATTTTTGGTCATATTTCTACTTTTCAGTTTTCAGGATAATTGTATGTTGATTGGTAACTATAAGAAACTTTTACAGTTCATCTTGGAAATTATTTTTGTTAACGAAGAAAACATACTACTGGAGGAGTTACGCTCCCCCAGATTCTCAGTCACCGCATTGTTTTTATCCTATGGAATGGATATTTACTATATTACATTTATACAGTCATACAGAATCAAAGCATTCCATAAAAGTTGATTAAAAATTACAGTGCAGGTTAGAGCTTTAGTTTGTGATTCTACAAGTGCAGGTATGCTTAACTTCAAGTACACACTTGGGCTTGACTACTTTGATATAGTTATTGTGCCTACCTAATTGTTTGCAGGATTAAGGTTTTGGATATGAACTTTTAGTCAAGTAGGGAGTTGGGAGGTGATGTGAGAACACTTGAAAATGCCGTAACCAGTAAGTGACCTATATTAGTAGTTGGGTAGGCGTTAGTGCTGAAGTAATGAATTACTCAACCATTTTTGTAACTTGAACTTCTGAAATAACATGTCAGTAATACATGCATAAAGGCTATTTCCATGTTTTAGCTTTATCCCTTACTTTAGGTGATCGAAAGCAGTTGTTATAGTACTGCAATTTATTAGGACTTATGTGACATAATTAAGTGAGCAAGAATCAAATGTCACCATAGGATTTGCTGTGCTAAGCATAAGTAGATCAGAGAACAAATGTATGCCATTTAGTATCTAAAATGTCTGTTAACGATGCTGTGTGTAGGCCTGAAAATAATTTTCTTAGTTTCTTCACAGTAGTATCAGGACAAACTCATTACAGCAGTATTTATCTTTTTTTGAGGTCTACTTTTTTTTTCTTCTTTATGTAGATGTTGACACGTTTATTTCCCAAACGCTAAAAGGAGAAAATCTATCGAAGAAAGCAAAAGAAAAAAGGGAAGTTCTTCTTAAGAAGATAAAAGATGTTAAGGCAAGGTAAGTGAGCTTCATGGCTTTAATGTGTTATGAAGTCACTTAAGTTATTACAGTTTTTATTGACTTTATTTATAAATGAAAATTTATTTATTACAGTAAGTTTTTACAGTCTTTTAATAACCCTTAACAATATTAACAATTAAAAATCTGTCTAGGTTCTGATTTTGTCAAATAATCTGCAGTGGCTCAAGTATTTATATCTATCTTGAAGCTGCTAGAATTTAGTAAGAAAGGGGAACATAAAGATTTGTCCCATTTGAATTGTTGTAATATTCTCAACCCTGATTGCAGGCTGGTTGGATAGAGCTTGCCTTCACCTCCGGTTTGGTAAGATTTGTTAAAATATGAGAAATATAATCCATTGAGAATATGAATGAGCTTCCTGTCACCATATTCAGCTGTTGTAAAACAGCATAATTCAGTGCTGACTTTGCTTTACTATATATCCTGTTGCTTAGCTCTGTAATAGAAAATTGAAACATTACTGGAAACTATTTATAGATCATAAGTTTGTTTCAGTAGTGTTAAAATAGTGAAGTACTACAACAGACCAAGCAGAGGGCTGTGGTTTCTTTTTTTTTTTTTTTTTAAATTTTAGTTTCAGGTATGATTTGAGACTCTGTTCTATTGTGTTTTAATTTCAGTCAAACAATTCAGCTGAAGAGATTTGGCTGTAGTTTTATTTGTGCTACAAAATTTTCCTTGCAAAATCTCTTTTTTTACAACTCTAATCAATTTGGGTGTAATCTGGTACTTGCTGTTCTTTTCCCATTGTTGCTTCCAAAGTGTTTTTCTACTGATCACTCCTGTTGGATACCTCCTAACCTTTACTTTGATGACATGCTCCTGCCTCTGTGGCAACTTGTTTACAATTTCAAAGACAGCACAATCATCTGGTGAAGGCATCATTCTTTTTATCTGCTAACTGTGGGAAGACATGAGTTGTGTCCCAAAACCTTGTAATTGAAGATTTGTGTGCCTTTGATTCAGGCTGTAAATGCATAGGGAACTACTTTGCCTTTTTTTTTTTTTTTTTTTTTTTTTTTTTTTTTTTTTCCCCCTGGTGCTTTCCCTTCTGGGTTATTGAGCTAACTGGGACTGTACAGATGACTTGCAGATACAGAAGTACTGACTTTTTTCTTCAGTCTTATGACTCAACTATAGTTTTTCTGGATGATGAAATATCAAAGGAAGTAACCTGCAGTTATGAGCGCAGTTGACACTGAATCCTTTGCTATTCACTTGCATGACCCCATGATGTCATGTCTTACTTTAATTTCTAATTCCTTCCTTGTCTCCTGTGATATTATTCACTGTTAACAGCGTTTTGCTTTTCATGCAGGCTACAAAATATATGCACTTCGTAGTCGTCTTTGATTTTTACATCCCACATATTGGGCTGTGCCGAACTATTACTGCTACTTGCTATGCAGGATTTCTTAGATCTGGCCTTTTATCTCTGTTTGTATTTCTCAGTTTCTTATCTCTAGACCCTTCCTTTCTCTCCTGCTCATTACTTGTAAGCATCTCCTTACTAACTAGCCTAATACACGCACTGCTGCTCGGTGTCCATAAAGATGGTCTTGGCAGCTGCATTGTATTTGCCAGTTATTTCTGGTGAAATCCTTTTCTTTTCACATAAACTCTAGTCCCTGCATGCTTCTTGAGGTGCCATTTTACATAACTCTGCCATGATTATTTAACTTTATACATCAAACTCTATCCTATGATTATTTTTGTTTCTGAAAAAAATACCACGATTTAGCTCTGAAGAAACAGTATTTTTTCCCTCTGGGATTGATAGAGGTGGCCTTTTTTTTTTTTTAAGGCATTAAATAAGTTGAGATCTTATTTGAAAATGTTTTTTGTTTTTATTTAGGCATGCAATAACTTTTGAATTTCTGGTTAATTATTAGTACTTTTTCATTTGGATTTGATAAATTATTGGAAAAAAACCCACTATTTGTAGATTGCTTCCTGCTGACCTACCGTGTTATTTTTAATGTATGCTTAGTGCTTTTACTTGCACACAAAACTTTTTGAAATATATTAACATTTAGAAGGATTACTAAAATTAAAGATGCTTTTTATGTTTCTACCTTAAAATATCTTGAGTAAATGTATGTTCCTAGAAAAGGCTGCTCACTCCAAGTTTGGTTTTGTTCCTGTCTCTTTTTGAAGCAACTGGGGATTCTCTTCACTGCAGAAGCAAAAGAAAAACTGCGTAAATACTTCAGCCAAAAGTAAAGACTTAAAAATCATTAAGGAAAACTTGCAGTGCTAAGTTTCAACTACAGAGCGTGTTGAAAACCCATCACTGTTTTATGCTATGCTCTAGTACCGTGGGTTTGCATGTGTGCGTGGCCTTATCTTGTTGTTTCTTCTTTCCGCAGTTATCCTCAAGAGTTCCAGGATAAAGGTAAGGCTCATGTATATCTCCTCCCCACCCCCCGCGGTGTATTTTTGTCCGCGGGCGGGCTCTCGGCGGAGGGAAGCGGGGCCGGCG